GGCTGATCCCCCTCAATTATATCTGGTAGAATTTTCTAATTGAGCTGGAGAATTTATTTCTTGGGCTGACCACAAAGTGGTGAAGCGTACGGTTGAAGCCGAAGGAGATGCGAAGCCCACCTTCCGTCATAATTGAGTTCATCATTGAAAATGCCCGCAAAGCAGTTCGTTCGAGAAGTGGGTACACTATCTTTCAATGGTCAATATTTCTGTCCCAAAATGACTAAGAAACTGAATTGGCCTGGTCAACTTTTCGAAGGGTAGTGCAGGTGTACGGCGCCTGACCAACTTTGTAAAATAAAATTAAGGATTTTGGGACACGGCAAAAGATGCGGCCTTCAACATAAACTCATGCATTCCAAAGGCTGGAACTTTTGAATCCAGGTCGTCCATTCCAAATTTCGCGTGTGGTTTTAGTATTTGTCATGAATATAATTTATTCAAGGCAGACACCGATGAGCATGAACGCAACATCACGATTGCTTCTTGCCAGGTTCAAGCATTGGGAAAGAAATACCTAGCTAACGGCAAGGGGCTACATGCAATGTAGTAATTTCAGTGTACACCGGTTTGGCCCTGAGTTATTGCGAACAACAGAGATCATGCCGTTACGCTCAGCAATGCCGTTAACAACGAATGACAAGATGGCTATCCTTCTTTCATAAATTAAAGATATAGAGTCGGGCTTGCTGGATGTGGTGACATATACGTTCTTGCGTCACCTGACTATAAATGTCCAATGCCACAGTGATGCCAAGCCGATTGGTGAGGCGATCCGTAAAGCATAAGGGTCAGAGAGAACATATTTTCACGTAGCTGAAATTTTCGGAAGCAGATCTGAAATGCCGCTTTGTCGACACATTTGTCTAATTGACATACTTAATATCACCCTTTTGTGTTATTGTACAGAACGTCTAGGCATTAAAGTATTGGTACAAATGAAGACGATGAGATTTCTTTGAAGGGGGCTGGGCTGTAAGCACTCACGTCAAGTAAGAAATCTTTTACCGGTTAAAGCATAAGTAATCGCTGACATATAATCTATGTCGATCTTTGAACAGGAAAGCAAAATTATTTTTTAAGAAGCTCTCGGTCTTGCTCCTGGGTGTAGCGTTCGATCCCAGCCTGTGTGCATTCTATATGCAAAACTTTACGTAAGCTTGTACGCCAGTCATATTACATTAAGTACTAATTTGCTCGCGAATTTCAAGAATGACCTATAGGTCTACTTTAAACTGATACTAAGTACATTGCTTCGCTCTGTTATCACACATAACTGGAGGCTAACAGTCCACACGTCCAACAAACCTCTGCATTATGCAGTTCTATTTCCCTCTTCATGCAATTCTCAGACATCTATGGGTTCGTACAATTGCACAAATGTGTAGTGTGTAGACGTACACACTAATACGGCACGCTTTCCATTACAGCATAGGTAACACAGAAGCTTCGCTTGTCATTAAGAGCCGCCTCTTTATTCGATCAAGGCTATGTCTCTGTCTCTCTCATTTTTCCAATATATGTTACTGGGCTTCCCGACGAAGGGTCACAAAGCTCAAGGATACTTTCAGTACAAGTAAATCTGACGGCAGATATATAAAATATTTAATCAAAGCGATTTATCGCAACTAAGTTGCTAAGGCAAGGTAAAATTGCCTACAAATGCCTAAAATGTGAAATCGATTATTCTTTTAAGCGCTTGAGATATGACGTAAGGACACGTTAACCGAGGGAATTCAATGTTTTCAGATTTATCGATAAGTCTGATTCTAAAAGCAATTGCTGTATGTCATGCGAAATTGTTTTTATCATTTTCGGATAACGGACAAAGCACAATTTGATGCAAAGTAGAGGTTTCGTGTATACGTGGCTACAGCCATAACTTTAGGTGTCTCAGCTATTTATATCTGAATCTACTATAATATTCGCGCCACAAAGCAGCATTCTTTTCCACTTCTACCACATCGCTTAGACCACAATACAGCTGTTGCCGAGTGAAAGATGGTCGCTTACATCTCCATATGTCTTGCCTGTGATAAATTTGATCAAATAGTTTGGGTGGATCTCATATATGAAGTATTGCATAAACTGTTGATTTTGGTGTTGTAAGCTTCTTAGACATCGGATTGTTTCACGATCAGCCATAGTTTGTCTACCACGTCTTCGAAAACTTATTGACAGCTGCGGGCTGTAAAGTGTCTGAGATGATTATGGACATTGAGATGTCAGCAGGGTTACCTTGGAGATTTTGCCTGGCCAATGCACCAATTGATCCCGTAGCACGATTCTCCGCAATGGCAGCGCCGATACTGACGAAATAGAAGTCGAACCTGGACAAGGAGGCCATAACTTTCTCCGCTGGAATATCTGGACCCTTGAGCTGGTAATCCGCAGACACATTACCAGACAAAATGCGTTGTATGTGTGACAAACTATATACTCCAAAACACTTGCGCGGACAGACCCTGGCACTCATTCGGTGCTTCGAATAACGCAGTTTGCGGCTCAAGCCTAAACCCCATTATATATATATATGTTTTTATCCATCCCACCGTAGAGTTTCTCCTGGTTGGTGGGCCACGAAATGAACGAGTTCCAGGATGTTTGAAAGCGATATGCCTATACTAGAGGCAGACAAGAGACACATAGATATGTAGTGCATATTTTGAATTTATTAAGCGATCACTCTATCTTTTATGCAGTGCTCGCATTTTAGAAGGCTAACGTACGAATAATCTACTTCGGGATGTTAAGGTCGTGAGTAAACGTTTGAGCTAAGGATTTGGCAATTTCCTGAGACGGTAAACCTTCATATGCTCAACGTAAGCTAACTTGAAGTATATCACGCTCTCGCTTGTCGGATGTAAGGGGTCTCAGCCATCCCTAGGCTAAGCTACTCTCTGATCTTCGGCAGCGATACCCGTCGAGGGTATTCTGTTCTATGACGAAGTTCAGAGTGCGTATCTTAACACGGCTCATCCAAATACCAGCCACACACTGAGATTCTGAAAAAACTGGATTTCATTAACTTCCGACACGCTGAGACTCTGGGTAATTATTAGAACGTCAACCCTTTTTAGCAGTCGTGTAAGCCATGTCAAGCACGGGCTGTAGGGTTTTATTCATTACACTCTAACACCGCTCTACCCGGCCCGGGGATTGAACACTGGTCCTCCCGGTTCTACAGTGAACATCATTACACTGCACCACAGGATCAATTCGCATTGAGGGTCTGGAGGAGAGTTATCGTGACGCAATTACTGATAGAGCTTATGGTTTTGCCACGGAAGGGTTACCTCATTTTGATGAGAAAGGGATAAACCGGTTCCATGTGGAAGCTCTGTGGGCCGGTGGGCTCCTCAGGGCCTCGACTAGTATCTGTTGTACGGGATGCCCTCACTCCTAGTAGTTTGTGGTTCTACTTTGTCAAGATTAATCTATCCCATTGAAGATTGTCCCTGATCCACCCTAACTCTTTATCTTCCTATAAGATCGGACAGTTTAGCCCAGCGCAGCGCGTTTCTAACTTGCGAGTAGGACCCGACATTATATTATTTTGATACTTGGTCGGTAGCCATAACAGCTGTTTCATGGAGATGAACAGCCTGTTCGAAATAAAACTTGAGGGGCCGAGCTTTTATCTCGACGTCCACGCCGGCATTTGTACTTTGCAAATTCATGTCTAAGGTGACGATCCAGTCGCTCGTCAGCTTCTATAAAGCTGACTTCTTAAGCTGTAAAACAGGTAAGGCAACATGTGATTCTCACCTAGTGCGCAAATTGGTGTGGTACTCTCCAATTCTATCGCAACATTCGGTTTCCAAGGTAAGGTCTCCCTTCATGGTGCTGGATTTCCCACCGCTGCTGCTTCAAGCACAGGCAATACCCCTGAGGAGTGGTGATCTGTGGGGCCAGATAGCGCTTGCGAAGCGACTGTCGACCGCTATTCTCGCTCGCATTCGAGCAGAAGAATCACGCTAATGATCGTGTAAGGGCTCTGCCGCGGCAAGCATCATCAAATAGATAAAACTCATAATCAGAACGTGGTCAAGTCGATGTGACTGTTGCTTTCAAAGAAGGAAAATCTTGGCTAGCTGAGTCGGGTCCAGCTCATTGATTATAAGCTGGATGTCGTCGGGGGTTCTGCGGCAACATATATTGCTTAAGGATAGGTGAGCAACTATTGCAGAGAAGAATTGGAGCAAAGTGAGCGCTATTTTTTCAGTGGGCGGCTCTGTCGTACGTGATTTGGCGACATCGGGGGTGTCGGGTCGGGCCGTGAGGGTCACTTCGACCGTATCTAGCAGAATTTTCTTAGCTCCCTTCATAAAAAACCTTCAAGGTCTTTGCCCAAATGAGCCAAGAGGGCAAATCAATAAGATCCGTAAGAGCAGGCATTATAAGGTGCAAGTGATAGCAATGACTCCAATCACGGTGGGTGCTCGATGAGCGTTCACTTCCATGCAATGTTACGAAAGCCAAATATATGATCTACATCTTGGTGGGGAAGATGAAATGCGTTTTGTATCGAATCACGTATATGTACACATTACACTTCATGTAATTGTGCATTACTCTGAGATGCAGAGCGTAGGTAATCTTGAGGACGAAGGGACTATTTCAATCCATGGGCTGTTAGCCTCATGCACTACATACACTTCAACTATCAAAGATAGCAAATCATGCATGTGTTAACAATAATTCATATAGAAATAAATGTAAATCTCGAGCAAACTACGCATCAAGCTCTCGGTCCCGCTCCTGTGTGCAAGTACAAACTTTTCTTTTGTGCGTTTGTTCAGGAGACTCACTGAGTCGCACAGCAATCACGTCGCTCAGTAATTTGATTATTGGCAGTTATACAGCACAGAAAAAGTTAAGAGACTCAATCTTCACCTTTTGTTTTTATAAGGAGACCCTGAAAGGACGTAGGACAGAAATAACATGTATTTAGATTGATAAAGGGACAAGTTCTGGAAGTCATCATCGAAATCTTGACAATGTCCTGGAACAATCCTTGCTCTGCTCAGTATAACAAGGTTGTTGGTCAAGACGATTTTGTGCCACCTTCACCTTCACGTCCAACAACTAGTTTACCTAAAAAACTACGTCTCGCTCAGACAGGTTTGCCAGAAAACCGTCCAAAAAATCTTCGAGTTTGCAAACATGTCGTCAACAACGTTGCTACAACATTCTCCATCGCTGACATGGATCGCTTGCAACGACCAGCACCTGAACCGATACTTCAAGAAGATCGTGCAATGGTTGATACCGAGGCACAAAAGTACAATGACTTGGAGGTACTTGATTCTCTTCACGTGTATGAATACAACCAACCCGACGTCTTTCGTCGAAGCAATGCACCTGACGATACCCTCTTTTTCGATTCTTTGTTTGAGAATGGTAATTTACAAAAAGCTGTTCGAGTGTTTCGAAAACGTTCGACCGGGTCTCAAACGTTACAACAAGAGTATGAATTAGTCATTCATCCAGATGTGAACAACGGAGCGTATCGTCAATGGTTTTACTTCCAAGTTCGCAATGGTAGACCCGGTACGACGTATCGTTTTGCTCTCGTAAATCTAGCAAAACGAAGGTCATTGTTTGGTCAGGGCTTACAGCCTGTTGTCTACTCGCAACACAACGCGAGAGCAAATGGAATCGGCTGGAGACATTGCGGTACATTTGTGCGGTATGACGTTTCTGTGTCGACATTGGCTCCTTTAGGAGCCAACACATTGAGTTTTCAATATGAATTTGAGCATCAGAATGACTGTGTCTTCTTTGCTTGCCTTCAGCCATACACATATACCGGTACGCTACAACGTTATCAGAACGTTATAATGCTACAAACGTCTGCTAACTCATTGTTTATATGTAGATTTAATGGACTACTTAGAGCAGCTAGAACGTGACCCAGAGCGTATGCAATTGTTATGTCGAACTGAGCTCTGTCAGACTATTGCAGGGAATACATGTGATCTTCTTTCAATCACATCTCCTGAGATCAATGAACTTTTACTCGACGAACGACGCAGTGCGTACTTTGATAATCCAAACATCAAGATACTTTTTTTAAATGCTTTGTATGTATGACCAGTTATTGTTCTATCTGCGCGAGTACATCCTGGTGAGCCCAATAGTAGCTGGATAATGAAAGGAATGATTGATTACCTTACAGGCCCAAGCAGTGGTGCTACGATTCTCCGACAGCATTTCATATTTAAGATCGTGCCCATGTTAAATCCGGACGGAGTCATCAATGGCAATACTCGCGTCAATCTTGCGGGGTGTGACCTTAATCGAAAATGGAGTCAGCCGATTGAACAATTCTTTCCAACAATTTACCATTTGAAACAGCATCTGGCATACTATCAGTCTACGAATCGTGTTGCCATCTATTGTGATATACACGGACATAGTCTCAATCGCAATATTTTTATGTACGGATGCTATCCATTGAGTAGAAAAAGCAGCATCTCAGATGTTCTTTTCACTCCTTCATTCATCGCGCGAGATAATTCAGACCCGAGAGCATTTCCCGTTATAGTTGCACGGCATACATCATGCTTTTCGCTTCCTGGCTGCAACTTTAAAATTCACAAGTCGAAGGTATCCACAGCTCGAGTCGTTGTGAACCAAGAATTAGGTGTGACAAATAGTTATACACTCGAAGCTAGTTTTTGTGGACCTGATGTTGGGAAAAATAAAGATACGCAATTTTCGACGTATGACCTTGAAGATGTAGGACGAGCTTGGTGCCAAAGCTTGATAGTTTATTATGGTCTTACTAATGAAGTCGAGGCATTGGACGCTGAACAAACGAGAGTAGAAAAGCTCGAGAATCAGCAAGAGGTAGTGGCTGATCAGAATACTTCTATCCAAAATATCACATCATCAATGCATGGGATGGCTGAGGACAAAGAGACTCGCTTTGAAAAGGGTGTTCTGGGTGACGGTGATACAGCCACCGCAGCCCCGTTCACACAATCAGATTGTAAGGTGAACGACATTATAAACTTTCAAGAAAGCAATGCGCAAATTTCTGACCTTTCTAGCGGTGAAGAAGCACCAGATTTACCTACTTTTGAGCTTGAAGAGAGCAGGAATCAAAAAAATACAACAACGAACCGATTTTGGATTACCGAAAGTCATAGTCAAAGGGAACGTGAAAACATGAAAACCTCAGGAATTACGAAGTCAAAATTTGTGATGTGTCACTTAACGTCGAAAGGTCCAAATGCTGCAAGGACAAAACGGAAGGGTAAACCTAAGATCAGACGTTTTAATTCAGAAATGGCTACTTCATCTATGCGTTCAATACGTGATGACGCTGCAACTTCTTTTCGAAATCTCGCAGTTTTAGCAGCTCGACCTGTGGAAGAAGCATCGAATCGAAATGGAAAACAAGTATCGAGTGTTTCGCATTCCAATAGCATAACCGCACGTACAAAAGGTTCTAGCAAGGTACCGAAAAGAGTCTCTAGTGCGATTTTTCAAGCCAAAATGACCGCTGACTTGCATGCTTGTTCTTTCCTTTGTCCTATTTCGATGTATTCAAAGACGTCGTTGCTTCAGCTTCCAAATGTTTTTTTACGTCGCAATCGTATTTCCAAAACTGCACCGGCTTATGAACGTAATTTTTCGAAAAGAGAGGACCAAAGTTATTTCAACTTGACAAAACTACGTGCTGATCTTCCTGTCTTGCCACTATCTGGTCGAAATCAAAACCTTCGACGGCAAACCTGAGAAGTCGAAACTTTTAACATGAAAAATAGGTAGTACAAAATTTGAATGAACAAGTTTTGGTTTCAAATGCACTACAAAAGTTTATAATGTTATCGTGAATCTTGCAAAAATCCCGTCATACTAACAAGTTGACGTTGTAGCTCTTTAATTCCAGATCCTTGCTTGACGCTCGTCACTTGGATAATTGGATTCATACTCTACAAAAGCAATTTCCAAACAGCAATAAGCTCAATTAAACGTTAACTCGAAATAGGATACAACGAACCATTCTCGTAGCACTAAGCGCCACTTCCTGCGCTTTATCAATCTGTTTTTCTAGCTCACTTCGAGTCACTGTATCAACTTTCGTAAACACAACTTGATATAAAGCTCCTAAGTCATGCAAAAAGTCCATAAAATCATGATCAGCCGGTCCGATTCCTCGTCTCGCATCAATTAGCAACATCGTTGTCTTCAGATTAATTCCACGTCGATTATCGATATATCCACCAACCAAAGTGTGCCACTCATCTACTACTTTCTTTGGTGCTGTAGCAAATCCAAAGCCAGGCATATCCACAAGTGATAAATCTGGTAAACTCCCTTTTTTTCCACCAACACTTAAGAAATGCAACTGTTGTGTGCGTCCTGGTGTCTTTGAAGTCCTCAAAAGTGTTTTTTGACCAGTTAATGCATTGATTAAAGATGATTTTCCAGCGTTTGAGCGACCAGCAAACGCAATCTCAGGAATATTCCAATCTGGCAAGTCATTAGGATCTGAAGTTGATGTGATTAACGTACTTTTTTCTTTAAATAGTCGATTCACAATATTAACTTCGTGTGGACGTAGTTGTGGTGGCTCATCGACACCAGCAATTGGCCAAAATATAGGCAGATTTGCTAAACGCATTTGCTTCTTGCGCTTTTTAGTTGTAGCCTTTACTGGTACGCTGGATGATACATGTGACGAGGTAGACACATAGGATACTTGATATGGTCTGAATAAACGATAGAAGCTTGAAAGATTTCGCGGTAGACCACGCAATGGTGAGTAGCTTTGCAGATTCATTTTAAAGGTGATACCTGGTGTGGCCCACTCAGGATCAAATTTAAATGTAAAATTTAGACTAAAGAAGGAACTTGTATAATTTATCAAAGGAAAGTACTAGATTATAAGATGCAGTAGCTACTTGATGAATTGCTTGAGCTTCTTTTGGAAAGATGTGCTTTAAAATGACAAACACATTGAGGCTGAAGTCATCGAATATCCAAACAAAAAATCCAATGGTGAAGAGAATGAAGATGCGATAAAGCCAAGCACTTTTACTGCTGGTGCAGGATGGAGACGATTCAGATGTTTTCGCAGCGGAAATTTCTTGTTGAAAAGATTCCATTAGCTGCTGAGTCTTGTCATTTTCCAGGTCAAGTGGTTCCTTTAATTTCTTTGATCTTACACGCTCAGTAGCATTATCGATTACAGCAAAGTGATCCTCTCTTTCATTTTTCCTGAAGGACGCATAACGACGTTTTGACAAGCTTGTTGATAAAAAGTCTTCGCTTTGTTTAAGATCGATAGAGTAGTCAAATGGTTCACCCGGGTACACCGTCAGAATTGAGAGAATGATAATTCCAAGAGCAATGCCAAATCCGACACTTTGGAGTTCGTCCATTTAGTATATCGACGTTTTGAAGACTGTTCGTTATTCTGAAAATATACTTCGACAGTAACGTACTCAACCACCTCAAACGTGAAATCAGGTCCCATAAAGTGAAGATACATCAGTCTGTACGATAACCTTTATCAAAACTTACATGATCAGCTTTACTTGCACTGGCAGCGCTTGTACTTCATGCACCTTATTCGTGGGTAAGGTGCCTGCAGTGACAACGTTGCATCATCCAAGGTGGCAGGTCCAGCGTGTTCACAGCTATAATGAAGGGCGGTGTATCATGGATGATTTAGTCGTTCAACCTTATTACGGTATAGGCCACATCAGAATTTAATGAATTTGTGATGATGTTGTTGTTCGAACTTTTCATATCATGGCACGATAGCTTTGTAGATAAATTAGCCAAAGAAGCGGCAAGTGAATTGAAGGAAGATATCACATCACTTTCTTACAAAAGTATGAGCTAGAATTTAAGTCGAAGATCTAGGTAGGCATAGGAGGTGCTATTATTTATATCCATTTGACCTGTTACGACCTGATAGAATTCCATGATATAATTTGAGAATGTCCTTCAAGAGTGAGACACTTAATCGGGACGAACGACGCGCGTGGCTCAACGAAGAACTAGCAGAACGCAATAGGCAACGAAAGCGTCAGTCCGAGCAACAAGGTGCAGCTTCTGAGCTCGAAAAACACGAATTCTGGGCACCTTTTGCACACCGAGCCACGACAACGAATGAACTCAACATTGCGTGGAAACAAGCTTGCGGATTCTTTACGTGGCAACGAGTGCTGTTGCTTCAAAATCTGTTAGCACTACGAATTACAGGACATGATTTGCATGACATCCCGGAAGCTCTTGCTTCTACGCTTCCGCTAATAGAAACATTATCGTTTATCGACGATAAACTTGAAAGTCTCCCTGAAAGTATAGGAACACTCCAGAATTTAACAAGTCTCGATTTAACTAAGAATCGATTTCAACAATTGCCTGTGACTTTCACAAATCTCACGAAACTAAGAATCTTGAATTTATCGAGTAATATCTTAGAGGAATTGCCAGAACAGTTTGGAAAACTCGGCAAGCTCGAAAAGGTTTGGCTCGAACGCAACAAACTTACGACTCTTCCCGAGTCTATTGGAATGTGTCAAAGTCTAATGTATGCAAACTTGAGTAATAACAAGTTAGTCAAGCTCCCAGAATCGATTGGAGGCCTCGTTTCGCTTGAAACTTTGTCACTAAATATGAACAAGTTGATCGAATTGCCTGATACCATTGTTAGTCTACCAAAGCTACGAACGTTCAATGCTTCACGTAATCAATTTACTAGATTACCTCGACATATTGGTGATATGCAGGCACTAAGACAGCTGCGGCTGGACTGGAATTATATTCAAGAACTTCCATCTTCCTTTCGAGCGCTGACGAAGTTACAAGTTCTTTGTATGGAACAGAATCCTATGCGCATACCAACTAGTGACGTCATTGCACGTGGTGTGTTAGAGACTCTGATGTTCATGCATAAAGCTTTTGAAGAACTTCAACGTAGTAGTCGACGAGAAACTGCAGAAGCTCTTCAAGACGTTTTAGCTTTTGCTGCTAGCCTTATACTCATGAATACAAGTATAAAGAGACAGCTTGCGAGCAACGATGATCTACACATCATTATGTCGTATTTTGAGCCGGAATGTGATCATCTTGCACCTACACCAAGCAAGGAACTCAGGGTATATGGTGTCGTGTGGGAACGCTTTTACTCAGATTTGCTGCCTGCAATTGAGCGTCAGCAAGCATTAACTCAAACAATAAGCCAGCAATATCCACAAAACAAAGCAAAAGTCGATCAAAAGCCATTTTCCCACCGTTTTTCAGCAGAAGAAATCGAAGATGCACTGATCAATTATAACGATGCTTTTAGTACTGTCAGTATGACGGGAGATGCATCCTCTGGAGTACTAGTGGAATTTCGTCGATGTGCTTGTTTAAATTCAGTTACTTCTAATGAAAAAGGTCAATCTTTTCAAAAAGTTTGTTTGCCACGAGAAAACCCTTTTAATTGTCAACGCTTAGGTCGATTGATACGTGCACAGATGCTGACAATGGAACAAGCACAAGATCAGCTCGCCAGTAGCTACTTTCGCCGAAAAGTTGATCGTCTCGTACAGAAAACGCGATGTCGAACGATTGATTACGTGAATTCGGCTGCAGGTATGGCTCAATTTGAGAAAAGTGCACGATTTCTTGCACATGAAATGGTGTCTCGACGTCATCGATTACGTCAATTGCTTAAAACGTTCGAGAAAGCGCAACAGCATCTTTGTTCTCGACGTAATAAACTTTGTCGACAGATTGAAAACCTTAAGCGAGCAAAAGAGACTCAAGTCCAAGCTCTTAGGGATAAATGGGCACGTACTGAAAATGCTCAAAAGAAATTGCAGTATGAACTTGAAAATGCGATAGCCAAAGATAAAGATGGAGCGGTGGTTGCTGTGAAATCAAAAAAGATCAAGAAGTTAAATGAGAAACTCGATGTGTTGCGAATTGACTTAGAGGGCACTGGTACAGGTGATGAAAAGATGAACAAGATTGAGCTGGCAATTGCAAGTCTTGACATGGAAGAGCAGAAGCTTGTTAAAGTGACGGAGAAATCATGGGCTTTAGAGATGGAGATTGATCTGGAAAATGAAGAGAGAGAGAAGGAATTTGACGTGGTGGATGATGAAGAAGACGATGAAGAAGACGAAGATGGTGAGGAAGAAGACGAAGAGAGTGAAGATGAGGAAGAAGATAGCAATTTGGATGTAGAGGGAAACACAGACGAAGCAAGTTGTTCAGAAAGTGAAGAAAAGGTGAAAGCTGAAGGTTTTACGAGTTCTTCAAGCAAGCCATTTTTTAACATCAATATGCCGAAAGAAATGGTTGTTGACTATCGAAAAACAGCGATTTTAGCTGTTGATAAGGAACTTGAAAGATTAGCAAATGATGAGAACCAGAAAAAAGGGAATAAATCGAAGACTGAGATCATCACAAAGCGGCCTCAATTCACCATCCCGCACATTGTTTCTGAAGAAAAACTTTTGGAACTATTTCGCACACAACTTCGAGACTCATATGTCGAAATGCAATGTGCTAAAGTATCAACGCAAGTTACAAAAGAGTTTCTGCAAATGCGCGCAGTATTACAGCGATGGCGTGGTCTAAATGCTCTTGCTGTGTTTGAAGCGTGGCACCAAGTGGCTCATTTAAACCGATTAAATGCTAAGGCTTTCAAGTCTAGTTCAGAGCAGATAAAGATTCTAGATAAGCAGAATCAAGAGCTAGAAGAAGAATTTGCACGAATGGATGCTCGACTTTGGGTACAGCGCTCTGATGCTTACACAGATGCGATTTACTATGAAAACGAACAAACCGGCGAAACAAGCTACACCCCTCCACAATATTGGGCGGAAGAGCAACAGAAACATGTTAAATTCGACGACATTCCTCGAATTAAACTTCCCTTGATCCGATAAACGATCGTTTCGTGTTTATATCGTACGCTAGCTGCTTATTTCTTACCTTTCTTTCCATTTTGATCACCTTTTCCTTTTGTGTCTTTTCGATCGTCTATATTAAGTGCATCCATAGCTGCTTTGCGTATCTTATCACGAGTTTCTTTCAAGCCGGTAATGAGTGCCGTGAACGTTTTAAATTTCTCGATATCTTCTTTAAAAGTGGCAGGTTGATGCGACAATGCATTAAGAAATTCTTCTTCACGTAATGGACATGTATGCAAACACTCGACGCGTTGAGGAGTGAGCGTGATTTCTACTGCACGTATGATACTTCCTGACGCATAACCCTCGGAAATATAAGTTAGTGTTGAGAGATCGAGAGCTTCCTGTTGACGACCATCTTGCAAGCGAGAATATGCAGGTCCTGAAGTTGAAGCTTTAGACGCTGGAATTGACGCTGCAGCAAGAGCCATCACCGTTGCCATTGATGAAAAGTTTAACGTTGCAGCATGTGCTGATATTGTAGAGCGTAAAGCGTGTTTCCATAACAATAATCTCGACGCATAATCTGGGTATGGAAGATATAAAAACTTGTCGAAAAATGTTCGTAAATCCTTCACATCTGCAGCATTAGGATCTGATGATGTACCGACAACCAGCACACGATCGGAAGGTTCAAGTGCAGTTTTAACATACAACAAAAGATCTTTCTTAAACCGAGCCGGTCCCTCTGTAACGGAGGCAGATTTCGTCTTTTTCCCATTTCCAGCAAACATTTGCTCACATTCGTCGATGTAAATGATAATTGGCTGAAGTGTAGTCGCTTTCGCTAACATCAAAGCCATATGAACGAGCTTTGTAGGACCATTTTTACCAGTAAATTTATCAGTGAGATTACTTGGTGAAAGATTGAGCAAAAGAGCTCCTGTCTCGTTGGCCAATGCACTGACCAAGAATGTTTTTCCTGATCCACGAGGACCATATAGCATTATCGAGCGTATCAGTGGAGTACGAGCTCTGATAAATGGCGAGCTTAAGGGTAAAACACCATATTCTGTGATGAGTTGCCGTAATTGAGCTGCTGAAGGATCTTGAGGAACCCAATTTCCCACTCGATCTCGACGATCTGAATGCTGTAAGATCGTTCCAAGAAGGTTGAAACTTCCGATAAAATCACGAACGCGCACCCCGGGACGTGGAGCGTGAACAATTTGATAATCGACCAAAATACTTAAAAACGAGTCAGGAGCACGTCCTTTCAACTCGGCAATCTTCTCACCAGGTAATGGTTTGCTCTTTTTTCCTTTCTCTTTCGTGTTTTTCTTACCCTTTTTCGCTTTACTCTTTTTGGCTTTACCCTTGTTCGATTTTCCCTTTTTCCGGGAACTTGCTGCCTCAAGTTGAGTCTTGATGTTCATAAGCTGAAGAACCAGCATCTCATCCACTTGTTGACGAACTTGCACTTCCACTGGTCCCCGTACAACATCCTTCGCAAGAGCGACGTCGTATTTTTGATAAAAATTGTCCATCTTTTGACGTTCGATCCACACTTTTCTATACTGCATGACGCCTCCCGCTAGCTTTGAACTAAGTTCCGAAGGTCCCGTCAGCGGAGGTGGCTTCTCAGGTGCTTCTTCCTGTTTTATTGCAACGTCTTTGCCCTTCCCTTTGGCTCCTTTTCCACTTTTCTTGTCCTCTTTCTTCATTTTAGCTCCTTTCTTGTCAGCTTTCGCTTTCATCTCTTCTTCTTTTGCCTTTGCCATCGCCATTTCTTCACTACTATTGCCGCTAACTGAAGCAGCATAAAAACCTGACAGATCTTCAGGCAATTGTCCTGTTGCCATGATATCTGTGATCCAACGTCTCCGTTCTTCCAGCATCTTTTCCTTCATCAACGGACCTTCTTCACTAGTCACTACTTCATGCAGTGTAACTAATGCTCGTTCGTATTCCTCTTTATTATCCTGCTGTTCAGATCGGCGTTGAAGACGCGCGTCCGTAAGGCGCTTGTTCATTGCTGAACGATCAAGAAGTGGTGCCTTCATGCCTATAAACACAAGTTCAGCATCACGTTCTCGATCGGCCGTAGCACGTGACCAGAAGCCACGAAACATCCTTTGGATGTTGGCAGCAGCAACATCTGGATCCATCTCAAGTGAACTTTGAGATGTTTCATAAAAATTACGCTGACGTTCCTGCTCCCGCAATTCCTGGTCATGGAGGCTTTGCTGACGACCTAAACGACCTTTTTCATTCTTCTGGACCACAGAAATGGCTTCATCTAGTGACATGACACCAGCTTCTTTTGCTATAGCGGCTTTTTTCATTGCATCAAGTTGAATCGAGTCTACACCATGTTTAAGTTTCATATATCCTTTAACAAGTCGATCTCTCCGAACAAGATTTTCGTGTTGGTCATCCAGAAAAGATTGTGAGATTGGAATCTCGATTGTCTCGGGTGGTAACTTAAGATCTACAAGAATATTGTCTAGATTTACATATTCCCAAGGAAAACTGCGCTCGGGCTGTGTCATGACATCCGGATTGGGAAAATTCCATTTTACAAGTTGATGCTTTAGCTCAACGACGCGAGTCGCAACAACTTCAATCACTTGCTTTACATCAATGCGCTTTTGTGGATGAACCATTTGGTCGTAGCACTCAGTCAAGCGTGTAAGAATCTGAATATATTTAATGTACAGACTCGCATAATGCTGAAAAGCTTCGACGATCGAAGCTTGAGGTGGCTAATGTTCCAAAATTACGACATCAGTCGAAAACTCAAAAGCTAAGTGAATGATTTGTTATAATAGAGCACCGGTTCATTTGATGTCCCAGTTGGACCGTCACTAAGTGTATGATCTTCAATATGGACCTGCTCGTTGATTTCCGTCATGGCTTCTTGCCATCGATGGTCATACGTGCTATTATAACACAGTGTTATGTTGACAGAAAGCGAAAAGCTGATCAAAAAAGACGCACCTCCTTGCCATGATCAAGTCTATTCCAGCTCTTGTTTCCGAGGCGACGTTTGAAATTGGAAATTTTCAATGCGTTTATTGCGAAATCCGTTTCGAGATGCTCGGATACGTAATATCAATTCTCGATCTATTTAATCGAAAGCCTTCGTGGATTTGCTTTGGTGTCAGAACGAACATTGTATCAGCGTACATACAACATACTAACAATCAAGGCTCGTTATACGTTCGGGATCTCTGCAAAGGACTGACTAGCGTATGGTCAGAAGTAGACAGAGTTTGCAGGCATAAATTCTCCTTTCTTATTTATCCAGAATATTTGCTGTTCAACAATGTAGTCGCCGAATGATCTACCATTGCTACTTTTGCAACTAGTGAAGCTGAAAAACCAATTTTTGTCGTCAAGATTTTGTCCCGGCGAATGAGATGATAACACTTTACTAATGGGATGCCAGATTAACTAAGCAAACTTCCGTTTGCAGTGTCTTTTACTTGATATGTCGTGCTAAGTGGATTGCCGGCTACACGATCATAAAGAAACACAAGATTGATGCATTGTTTAATTTATTAATGCTGGCTTTAACAAAACCTGATATAGTAGCATTTTGACAAGAAAATAATTATGTGTGCCAGTGTTATCGTTGGCGTGTTGGGATTGGCTGTAAAAAAATAAACTTAAACAGCGTTTCTAATGTCGTTTGTCCGTAATTGTGAAGCATTCTTTGGTGTCGAAGTCTATTCCTGTCGATCTCTGCGCCGCATAACGTCATCCTAGCTCCCATTACTACACGCTCATCAACAAACGCAAGCGCAAAAAGGAAAAATAGCTGTCAATCCGCCGCCCCCTCGCACGGGCTCAGTTGTAAGAAGCCATCGTTTCTTAATTCTATTTTTGTGCCAACGCACGTGGCGTTTAAAACCGAAACTCACAGCGTGTGGGCTCGTCATAGACCTCGCTCTGACCTTTTCGTGAGTGCTGTGTGTGTCATGTCACGCATGAAGGATGTCTACGGTGGTTTGCGCAAGGAGATGACTGCAACGTTTGATCGGACGGATATTGTGTCTGTCGTAAGCGGAGGAAAACCTGGCTATGCCAATCTAAAACACCTTAATGTGGGCTCGCCTGGGAGTGATGTAAGCGACCTTGGAGACACTGCTGATCTTGAAGAGCTGCTTGCGCAAGGATCGAGTCAAGGACCGCAGACACATCCTGGTAGCGTCGAATGCCTACTTGACTTCTTTAGCTATTCTTATGTACGTTTCATGCGTTTAACAGGTATCATCTGCTGCGCGATTTTTTCGCTTTCTGGCTTCTTGTTGCTGGTGAGTTTGACGGCGAAATCGTCGATATGATAATTTGACTGATAGGTTTTTTGTACTGACTTGTGCTTGCTAGCTTATTGTGGGTTGCATTGTAAGCAGCAACTCTTTATATATAAAGGTCAAGCCACCTCACGGAAAGTCAAAGTCATCTTTGGCAACGAGCATTTTTCTTGCAGCGTTCCTGTATATGTGTGTCTTTGGCACGAGTATCATGTACTTCCTGCGCGCACGTCGTGCTCAAAAAGTATATCAGCTCTCGCTCGACGTACATGTCGATTAAGGTCATATGTGACACATTTAGTTAGGGGGGCAAACGAAACAAGTGAGGCACCGAATCTGTACTCTAGCAGGCGAAGAAAAACATGGAAACAATTTATTAGCACAATCAAAAGATAGAATACTACGAGTCTTGAGCATATATGACAGAAATAGCCACAAAATAAACTCAGCCAGAGTATCCATGCTTTAGCACGTTTTCGAGCATATAGAGGAATCTTATATCCTTAGGCCGGCACGACATCAAAATCTTCATTTCCTTTTCTTGCATAGTTTTCAGTGCAGTTGACATCCTCATCCTTAGCTCCGTCGTAAACAAGCAGCAATTTCTTTTCAAATGCAGCAGAAAGTACTTGTTTGGCAACCTCAGCACGGGCTTTTTTCTTGCTTATTGCGTTAGCAGTCGCAATCTCTTCGCCATTTAAAAAGCCGGTGCACTTGAATTCCGTCACCTCTTTGCAGGGCGACACATCTTCAATATCAAATTGAGCATTGAGACTTCCACGCTGTGTTAATTGATTTAATAACGGCAACGGTTGCAGCTGCCGCTCCATCCAACTCACCCGAGTAGGCATCTGCAGTTTATTATCATGTGTTGACTGAGGCACATTCGGTGACTCTGGTCCATTCACAAGCGGTATATTCTCAGCTTTTGCACGCTCATACAGCTCCAAATACGACACGTCTTCCGGTGTCAACTTGCCAGCCTTTTCCTTATCACGCCAGAGCTTTTCAATCACAAGTTTGCACGCGTTATTCTTCGCCACCTTCTTCGAGCCACCTTGGATATTCCTTGCAAGGACTTCCCCTGTCGTACCATTCACAACTGTACACTCAAACAAAGACTTTTCGCCCAACTCGGCATTGTGACATGAATGAACATCCACCATCATTTTCTGCTTGATCCTCGATAGATAAACATTAACTCTCGCCGCAGCAAACATGTCGTCTTCTCGAGTCGGGAGAGGAACCGCATCGATTTTTCTTTGCATTTCCTTCTTTCTTTGCTCTTCCCGCTCTTCTTGTGTCATTGCCAACTCTACTGCATTCGCGGCTGCAGCCAACTGCTTCGCTCTCAACTCAGACAATTCCGCTTGTTCCTTTGCGAGTTTTCTTACAACTGCTTTGATCTCCTTACGTATATTAAGAAAGAGAGCTTTGTCAGGATAAGTCGTCAATGCCCTGTCAATGATTTCCTCCGCCTCGTTGTAGCGATGTTCTAGAATCCGTAACTTGGCCATGGCATAAAGCGCTTTCTGCGACGTTTTGTCCACCGTTAGCGCCTTGGCTGCATACTCATTGATCAGAGAAAGATCCTTCATCTTCAACCCACAAATCGCAACGTTATTACAGAGAGTAACGTATCGTTCCTGCATGTCAAGATCGTCCCATTTTGCTGCTGGGATCGATTTTCCATAATATTCACTCTGCTGATGTTTCAATACAGCTGCAATACTTGCTAAAAACGCATTTTTAGCAGCATAATAATTCTTTGCTTTGAATTTAAGTTTGCCAGCGCTCTGTGCTTTATCTGCCTCCTCTAAAAATTCTGGAGGCGTCACGTCGTCTGGATTTTGAAGTGTTATCGCCTCAAATCGCTCTTCTGCTGCTTTCATGTACCATTGGTCCAGATTTTTACTCTCAGCATGATCCTGTGGTTCAATGTCTCGCATGCGCAAGAGTGTTTGTCGTACCTGAGGGTCCCAAATCCAGTCCTCAAACGACCGCGACGAGTCCCGTACAAATGTCAGTAGTAAATCCTGAACACCACGCAAAGGAAGAAGTGGTTGAAGAAAGTGCTGCGTCTGCTTGTCGCTCGCAATCAAGGCATTGCGCAATCGCGCCATGTCTTCTGATGGATTCATTATTAATGAATTGTCATACAATATCCCAAAATCACTCAAGGCCAAACTTTTTCAAAATTAAAATCACCAGATACAGAAAAATAAACAAATGTTTGGTAAAATACTTATCACCGTCTTTACGTGGAGTTTGTGAGATCACTGCGAAGGTAACAAATAATACATACATCACATATGCGTTTAAATGATAAGGGCCTGACTCAAATAGCTGGATTAAAGCTCAAACAGCTAGTTGAGCGCTGAAATTGTCATTTTGTCAGATTCCTTTGGATCGTGCACAAAATACTTAAAGACTAGTTCTGGAAATCTGCAGTGCAGCTGTTTCCATCAGCATAACCCTTTCGGTACGAAGTCGACCCTTGACACGAAATTTAAAATACCAAGATGAATCTGGACTCGCCGGGAGAACAAATAATCCTACTCAAGTGTACAAGATGACACGGCGTTAAAGACGGATAAGAACATGAAAAGAAAACTCAAAGTCTCATTTGGGGACGAAGTTGCTGCTGATAATAGTTTTATTTTTTATGACTGTCACAAATGGCAACAAGACAAGTGTACGGTGGTGCTAGATCTTGCTGTTTAGAACATCAATTACTCCAAAGACAACGACACAAACTGAGGTCCTCCTTCGTTGATAGCTTGGGGTATTGATGTGAGTGCCGATTGTGCTCCTCGTCGTCGCATTTTTTGTGTGTGGTGTTGTGCAAGGAACAACGTACAACACCTGGTCATATTGAGTAGAATGCGAGTGTATTGGCTCCTTTAAACTAGGACACACCGTAACAAATCTTGGCCTTCTGTAGCATTTACTGCGGCTGCTCTGTCGTTGAAGAATCTGCTATTTTCCAAGTCCAATACGCCCCAATAGGTTGTAAATGCAGCAGTGTTGTCGTGCACATTATATAAAGCATTGACGGAGAATCCGCATCAATATACGAACAAATTAGTCTACCAGTCCTACCAAGAGCAGAAGCGACAAAAATACCCTGCTCGTTTTTTAATTCAAGACATAGATTCGAAGTGATTTTGGATTGCAAATTACTACTTACTATGTCTGTTTTACAATATTTAAATTATAAAAGTATACTAAGCGCATGGCGTGAGGTTAAGAGTCAAAGGACGAAGCGTCGCAAATGACGCGGTATAGCCAATTTACCAGCACACAGGAGGATTCCTTAACACCAGTGAAGGGTGCCAATCTCACCACACCCCAACAATATTTGACAATATTTCTTAGGAGATTGATGAGAGGTCGTGTCATGTCGGCATTGTTTGCGCTGCACTTGTGCAGGAAGCTAGCCAGCCAAGCCATTTCCTCGAGTCCATTTGGAATAGAGGCACCGACCAATCTACAATGGCTTCAACCCATGTAGATGTTGTAGCGGGGCTGCCGTAGATCTTTGCATAGAGGAAACAAAGCTAAGGTCATCGACCTGATGTTCTTACCAAGAACCAGTACGAGTGCAGCGGATCGCAATCCGCTGCCTCCAAAACCTCTTTCGTTCAAAATTAAAGCTGCAGTTAATTGATTTAATTGCGGCAGAGCCGCCAATATCTAAAACTTTAGGTCTTCCTGATCAATATAGTAATACCTAGTTAGTATAGTAAAACCTAATTAATATACATTTCTTTTGACAATCCTGCCACGTAGTGGCTTCTTTTTTCGGTGTATTCACAACATTGTGTGATCACACCACTTGTTTAAGCCATACACATAAGGGTCACACCATCTTGTGTGACACGCCCTTTCATACAAGGGTACGTGTAACTCCGTTACACTTTGGGGACATGTAACCCCGTTACAGTTGTGTTCACCGTCCATTCGTTTGATAACGTAAAAAGAACTTGTTGGCGCCAAAACCACCCCCCCCCTCTATAGTGGCAATTATCTTGACTAGCGCATACACTGGTGCAAAGATCGCAACTTTTATTGTGGAACTCCAAATCTAACTACCCGTGCTCTGCACGACTATGGACCAATATGTAGTTACAATAAGTTTGTTCATAGACTCGCTGTGGACTGAACAGCGACGTCACACGACGGCCCGGCGTCGCTGGTGCATAGACTTCTTATTATACAACCAGCCCACCCCGAGCGTACACTCAAACTAATCAGTGGTGCGCTTCTCTCAGCAGCTATTAAAAATAATCATCAACTAGCCTGAGAGCTGGACAAGTGCAGCCGACCATGATGATCTACAGCACATCCTTTCGAGTAACGACGTTTGCGCCGAAAGCGTAGCTACATCAAGCTTATTATAACTACGTACAATTTGCAACTTGCCATTACCCGTTCTGATACCGTAGGTCGGTGTCTTGTGTAAAATGTCACCTTTTCTCACCAGCCCGCTCCATGATTCACACATAACAATCGTAATTAATGTCACACCTTCTCAGTGGTAAGGACCATTGTCATTACAGAAGTGTGTAGATACGCTATAATCCGGTATGTAGCTAGCCATAGTAGACACCATGGTGGAAGAGAGTGTAACAGGGCACATATCGTATTATGATGTGTGCGTCCACATTGTATTTCTGTCTTTATCAAATGCTCAAAGCACCAAACTATTGATACGGACAAGATTTTTCGATTTCGTGAACGCGTGATAATAAAACAGATATATTTGCGACGATTTTGTTATGATGAGTTTTGGTCAATTATGTCAGAGATAATATATGACAGCGCAGGTATAAAACATTTTTTAGCTCTATGTAAACCTTCTTCTGCACAAACATTAAATAAATGTTCATCTGGTTTTAATAATCGACCATTTTTTTAGCTAAAATCATATTAGTAATATATTTTCCGTCTTTGATTATATATTCGATTAATAAATTCTTTCTTTTTCCTACTTCATATTTTCCATGATAAGTTTTTCCATTAAAATTTAAGCCGCAATTTTTAGACATTACTATAGTCCACACATTTTGAAAAAATGACTCATTTTTCAGATGACCTATATAACAGCACATCCAAGGTTTGAAAAGTTTTCGAGCGGTGAACAGAGACTTCAATACTGTTTTTGTCGCGTAATTGTCGCTTCCGCGTGTAGAGCGGAATTTACACACCAACTAAGATCAAATATTGCTGCGCAATTATAGCATTCTTCTTGTACTTAAAAACTCAGATTAAAATAGAAAGTAACGAGGTAACATAGAGAAAGGTTTGCTTTCGAAACAAGATTTTGTTCGACTCACACATCAACGTATACAAATGTATCAATTACTTTTGTTATTTTCAGATTACCACTGATGAGCAACTTATTTCTGTCGTCCTCACCCTACAAGATACCTCCCTTTGAGATAGAAGTATGGGCTCACAAATCGAGAGCTTCACAATAAATCTCAAATTATTACCCTGGTATAATGTGAACGCTATCCGCTACTTTCCAGATTTTGGAGATTGTACGATCGTTGTCGACACTAAGCTCGAAAGGTAAGGTCAGCTTTAATTCTCGATCCGTGTAGTACAGAAAAAAACTTCGAGTTTGAAAAAATATCAAAGCAGCCTCGCGACAGTTATTTCGCTCCTTGAAGGTGTTGGAAGTCGTTGCTGCATATCGCTATGCTACAGGAAAAGGAAGTTCGATGCTAAGTAATTTCGTGATTGAACAATATTTATTGATAATGTTTACGAATTTAATGTAGCGACAAGATAGATAAGGACTATGTATCTATATGCAGAACTTATTACCAGCAAGAATCAAACATGGGAGCTGCCAAAAGCCCGCAATCACATTTTGGGTTCACGCTCAAAGTTTATAAATATGATGCCATATTAAAAAAATCACAAGTTAATAAAGTGTTGTTGCCCTTTATGTGTTCATCATGCGGTGCTTATCATCTGTTGATGAGCATCAACAAATTACCAGCCTGCTTGCTGACTTTAATGCTCATATATAAGCGTCACTAGTCAAGACTTTTCCGCTTGACACGAGTTGACTATCTACCTCGATGTCACCAATGATTTGTTATAGCTGGTATGATGTTTGAACGTAATCATATCATCGAATTTTGATTTTTCGATGATTTCCAAATTTGTCACAAATTTCTAATCATGCAAAAACTCAAACAAATGTTGTAATACGAAAGTGTTCAACATGTAACAAACAAAGCTTATTGCTTGTGTTTGGACATCACTAGCAATTTTCACGGAAGTACCGTTTATAAATCTTGTAAAACATGTTATAACCTTATTGTCCTACAGTGAATATCTACAAAGGGACCAATACAAATGTACACAGGACACGGGGTGATACCATCTTTTAGGCGTTCACTTTGAAAAATCGACAGCACTTCATGCATTGCATGGGACTGAGGAAAATAGTTACTGCGCATCACTACATGACTGAAGGAATGATTATTGTATTCCTAAAAGTCAGAAGTGCGATTGAGAGCTTTGGACCGATACATTCCTGGTTCCTGTACGAACGGTATGCAAAGCTATACCCATACCTAAGTAGCATCTGTTTTTTACAACTATACAATCTGCTAGTACAATAAAGACTTCTTAGGATAAGAGCTAGCAAGAGAAATTCTGGACAAATCCGAAAAAAACGCGAAGATTGTTGGTTGTCGAGATGCTAAGTATTCTCTCAGTTTGAACTTTTACATTTTACAAATGCAGCTGTATTTAGACTTGGCCCATTTATAATCTACCACATTCATCTCAAGGGTCAATTGAAGAAAGTTATGATCTCCTTGTTCAGGTTCGCCTTATTTGTCATCTGCCATCGCGGAGAATCGTGCTATGGGACCATTCCGCGCGTTGACTAAGCGGAACCTCCAGAAAGGGACAAGTATCTCTTGTTTCAGTTGTATCTGCATTTGCATATCGAACAAAAGGAAATGAACTTTGTTCGAAGCAATACAATTTGAGGCACTGAATGCAGTGTCTGTGCACACTAATATACGTAATACTCGTTCCCCTATGTCAGAATCATCAGGACGGTCAATCTTGGATCACGTGAGGCATATAGTTCAATGTGCGCACAACAAAAAGTAATCGAGAAATTGAAAGTATAGACGAGATCGGGAGCCATGCACCAATCGACGCGGTTTAAGGAGTGATTTGCACGGAGCTTAAGGGGACAATGACATCGAAGATCATATTGGGAAACAAGTGTAAAATCAATTTTATTGATTGTAGAAGCTGTAGAGTGTTTTGTCGAAAACCTAAATTAAGGAAGTGTAGATGTTTCAATACGTCATGGCTTCTTCGAGCAACAATTGACCTGCCGTTCACACGTATTGTGGCGAGAAGTCCGCAATACTCATTTTGCGCAGATACTTGTATCCCAAGGGTAGTAAAGCAAATCACTGCATTAGGCAAATAGTGAAAAAGTGGAGAGGATCGATCTCATGTAAATGAACATGCTGCAAAGTATGTTCATCTATGGTTTGGGACATATATAATGCCGTGAAGAAATCGAGTACATTTGCCATAGAGGAGATTGCCATCAGATTGACCGGGAAAAGCGCAAGTTGGAACGAGATTGAAACAAGGATAATGTGAATTATAAGTTGTGCGACGACGGACTTGTGAAAAGCGTCTAGAATCAGACGCGGTAAACCAATGGAAATGGGTGAGTAGAATGCTGAAGGACAAGCAATTGAAAAAATGCGGGAAGAAACAACCGCATTGAAAGCGAAGGAGTGTGAGTAGTGACGGTACCATCAAAAGGCTGTCACACACTGAAGATTCAAGACCAAGATCAACGATGGTGCGACTAAACACTTTGGGGCGAGATTGATGGCATGCAGAAATGAACAAGTATATCATATCATCGTGTGTGCACAAACTGGCACCATTTGTCATATAGCCACGATCAGCTATCACGCATAGCACCGACAATGATTCAGGCTCGTCATCGCTTCTCACTTGCCCCATACAACACTTGAGAGTTTGGCTCACGTTGTCATCTAAGAACACGGAAAAATTTAAGTTTTCGTGTTGCTCTAGCGCTGCGTCGTCGCTTATTCTTGCCTGCGTATGCTCTAAATGGAGTCAAGTTTAAGTGACGGCATATTTTCGATAATGGCGTCTAGAAGCAATTGTACGCCCTTGTTATTTGGCTCAGCGTCACAATTGTTACGCCATATCAAGCTGCACTTGATTCAACTTCTTCCCCAACACTAGTCGGATGCAGTGTCTGTACGCCAAATTTGCTTTCCTTATCTTACACAATAAAAAATCCATGGTGCGTACGGATGCCGAGCAGGAATAAATTTTGGCATCGTTTTGCTTCTTCATAGCTTTGATTTTCCCAGCACTTAGAATAGCATCTTCAATCCGATCTTAAGCTCAAAGAAGCGAGTTGGTTTGCGAGAAATTGAGCTTCAATTACAGCCTGCTTTTGCTGCTGATTTGCTATAGTGAATGCTTTAAAGATATTGCCATTTTCGTCGGCTTGCTCTGAGAAGCGTATCTTTTCCCTTCCGTCCCGACATTCTATGCAATGAAGTCCCATATTGAGTAGCAAGTTTCGAACCAAAATCCAAATTACATCAATACTGTTGATCTCATTAAGTATCATTCCTTTCAGCGGGACGAACAATGCCAAAGTGAAAGCTCAGTAATTGAAATGATATCAAGATTAGCTGGCATCTTTGTCTAGAACATTGACATTGTTGAATTGATGAAAAAATCGCGCAAGAATCGTCAAATATAATGTGGAGAAGACTTGTGGTGGCATATTTTTCCCTTTGTCGATATGAAGTCCAATCGCATCTAGTGTTCGCGCCAAATGGCATCCGACATTTTAGCAACATCCACCATCTCAGCTCCATCGTGAACACGCAAAATATCGACTCCTTGCTCAATAGCTGCGCAACACGTTGCAGCTGTGCCAAAAACGCAGTCTTTTGGATCTGTACGGCCACAGATTTCTCCAATAAATCGTTTTCTCGACGACCCTATCTAAGCAAATGGTATCAAAACTACTTGAAGTAACATAATTTTATCAAACTATACGATCACAAACCAGGAGTGGTAACCCATGACAAATATGCTTTACATTTGATAGATTTCGCAAAAGCTTAAGGTTGAGAACGCGAGCTTTCGCAAATCCGATACCAGGATCGAGAATAATATTCCATCGATAGATTCCTGCTGCTTCAGCAGCTGCAATACGTTCTTTAAGATCATCACTGACTTCTGCTACAACGTCCTGATATTCCTACATATGATTAAAGGACAGAAATGTCATCATTCCAGCTACAATTTAAGTTCATTCAAAGTAAACCTTTAGTCCAGTCATTGTTTTTGGTGTGCCTCGCATGTGCATTAGCACCATCTATCAAGTCATGTCATTAATTTCAATGTTGTTAAACGCCCACATTGCACCACTTACCGGAACACGTAATTTCGCGACAGTAGCCAACATTTCAGAATCGTTTTGACCTGCCGATATATCATTGACAAGATTTGCTCCTGCTTTCACTGCTTCACGTGCAACGTCGGCTTTTGTCGTATCGATTGAAATTGCCACTTTGCTACATTCACGAAGTCTTCGAATCACGGGTAAAACGCGCCTTAATTCCTCTTCAAGCGTCACTGGATCCGCTCCTGGACGACTCGACTCTCCACCAATGTCAATTATCTCTACTCCGCCACGTTCCAAATCTAACGCCTTTTGTACTGCAGCAGCAACTGTATCCAGCCCACCACCATCACTAAAACTATCGGGTGTAACATTCACAATTCCCATAATAAACGTCTTTTTTCTCAATGGCCACGGTGATGTTTTAATTATTGGTAACATTGGTACAGGTGACACATGCTGCTGCTTAGCTTGAAGTGTAGCGTATAGCTTTCGTATGGGCTGTTTTAACACTGGATGAATTAGATCTGAAAATACAATTTTCATCAGGCACATAATTCTCTCTTGTAGCATCTATGATACTCTACCTGGAGCTAAATCACATAATGGAGCGAGTACAAAGTCTCGTTCAGCAATACGTTCATGAGGAATGATTAAAAACCCTTCCTTTGTATCCATTGTAACGTGTACATTGTCGTAAAACAATATGTCGATATCAATAAGTCGAGGTCCCCATCTAAAAGTTAACACGATTAGTATAATACTTCACATAACCGTCCAATGAAGACTTTGCCTTATTGTTGGAGTGCGTCCGATCTTCCTCTCGATGGTTTTGAAAGCCACAAGTACGTCTTGTGCCTTAAGTTTTGTATGAATCTTGATGACAATATTATAATAAAATGGTTGATTCTCGACATATTGTGCGGCTGTAGCATAGAGACACGAAGTCGCTTCTACTGCTCCAACCATTTCTGTCAACATAACCACAGCATTTTCCAGATTCGTGACTTTCTCGCCTATATTGAATATAAAGATTAGTTTAAAAAATAGCGATTATAGATCAAAGGATGGAAGACGCACCTAAATTTGTTCCTAGCGCCGCATATACACAAGCCGATGGAGCTGCCATCAGCCAAAAATCAATTTAAAATATTATCAGAGTAATTTTTAATGTAAGAATTGATTTTACGTTTAGGTTACATATATATGGAGGAGTGAATATTAGAGATTTTTGTTCTAAAAAACAACATTTTGACTAAAAAGCTGCTGACTAATGAAGAATTAAAAAAATTATTAGGTGCCTACAATATACCAAGGCGCTATAAAGCTGGTGTTGGTCCGTAGCCTTGGTCTTTTATACTACTATCGCGTCGATTCACGACGATGAGAATCAATTTCGGAGCAATTTAAGTCGAGAATTATTAGCACAGGATTATCAGTTTCTTGGCAAGATGAAACGGGATACACGTACCCTTGTATAAAAGGGTGGGTCAAACAAAATGGTGTGACCGTACAAAGGTGTGAATTACACAAGTTCTAGTAATCATACAATGGTGTGGCTACACCGTAACAAGAAGCCACTACGTGGCCGAACTGCCAGCAGTTATACATATAAACTAGGTGTTTCTATTTAATTCGAAAAATCTGAGGCTTGAGATATAGGCGGCTCTACCGCATATAAAGACAATTAAATTTTAAACGAAGAGTCCCTTTACCTTGGTTAAGGTTCTGAGTACTCTTGGAGTAAGCGGATTGCGATACGTTACACTCGTATACAACGTAAGGTCGGTGACCTTAGTAAGCTTCCTCTAAGCAAAGGGCTAACCTGCTGCACTTTGTAGCAGTCATAGTCAAACTACACCTGAGTCGTTACGACTGATCCTCTATGAGGATGGTTCAAAGCTCCTATTTGCTCCAGGTTATCAAGGACGGGCATAAAAAGCTGGTGTCCCTGCTTGGCTCTGAGGGCGTGCAATACCTTGCTTCGCAAGGACCTAATGCGATAAGTGCGAGCCTAGAGGCGTTTTCAAATTATGAAAACGAGCACCTAGAGAAGAAGACGTCGCTGTCGACGATGGATGACTCCTCCCGACCCAGGCCGCTCATGGTGAGCGTCAAGACCTTCGAGGGTAAGGATGGAGAGAATCTCCTGCTCTGGATGAGAGAGGCCGAGATGCAATAGCATCCGCCATGCTCCAGAACGAGAAGTAAAAAGTGGCGCTAGCAATCTCTACGATCGAAGGCCGAGCGCGAGAATGGTTCTCACAGCCTAACCAGGCATATCACGTGTGATCGTATACACAGAGCAAGAAGGAGTTGGCAAACTTTGTCCAGGAGTTGAGAACTCTTATTGCCGGGATGGCAGCAGATCCTCATCCCGAGCCGGTCGCAATGACCGCCTTTATGGAGGGCCTTCGCGCTGGCGTGACCAGAATGGAAGTCTTCTGAGTGCACACGTCTTCTTTCGAAGAGTGGTGAATGTGCTTTGGATGTCGAATTCAACTTTAAATCGGCACGACTTGGTTGGAATGCGCACCCTAGGGCTCCTCGAACGGGCCTAAGCCAATAAGTCTCAGCTATGCTGAAAAAGAGGAGGGAGAGCTCCGAGCTACCAGGCAGCGTTAAGACACCCGACGGTGTTTTGTCTGTGGAGACACCCGTCACCCTCACTGGTTGTCCCATGCGCAAGGCGCGTGAAAATTAATCGATCTGATGTTCCGCTTCTCACCAGTCTGGTTTGTCGCGGGGAAATGACAAAGCCCAGTAGGAGCGGAAGCCCTACTGCGGAAGAACTGAGCTCTGTTGAAACTCAATGAGGTAGAGGGCAGCAGGGCCTAGCCCCGAAGAGCTCCGTGCTCTTAGACACGGAATGTGTATGCAAGCCGGGCTTGCTGGTCGTAAAAGCGACCGTGAAAGGCTTAAAGAAGCCATGGAAGATTCAGATCGTTTCCGGGGCGTCGGGTAATTATGTTCGACGCTCCACGGTCGAAGAAAGTTAGCTGTATGCTGAGGCGCTGGAAGCACGTTTGAGCGACACCATCACTGTTCGCTTAGCGACGGGAACATGTGTCACTGTGCCGAGGGTCCCCGTGGACCTCGGTGTCAAGTTTCTTGACTTGGATAGCGTGGAACGCTGCATAGTCTTAGACTTGGGTTCAAGGTATGACCTTGTCCTTCGTTGGAGCACCATGGACCATGGATCGATTGAAGGTCGAAGACCTTGGGCGCTCCACGCACGTCTACTGGTGGAGCTTTATTGAGACATGAACCCACCTCCGCTAGGAAGCAAAAACAATATTGGCGCGGGCACTAGACCGGGACTGTCAATGTGCTGAATATCGGAGTATCCGAGCTGTCGAACACCGAAGGTGTATTGGAAAAGAGTCCTGAGCATGGATTGCGGACTAAACGTGGAGTTGTACGTAGCGCACTGAGCACTGTTCAAATATTGAAGCAGTTGCTGCCTATCGCTTACTTCAATCTTTCTTCCGTTTTGCATAAAGTAGATCAGCCCTTCAGTTTACCGAAAACAGTCCGTTCGCACCTTATTGATGTAGACAGCATTGTCCTTCCTACCGCAGAATCTACCCAGTGAACGATGTTGTATAGCGCAAGCTTATCCACGCAACCAACACGATGCACTCACTACCAGAAATCGAAATCGTGATCTCATCATCTTCGCTTACCGCTATTCGCCGTCGTCAAAGTCTCCATGTTTTCCGCCGCGGTTGTTGTGGTGCAAATAACCTCTGTATTGCGCATATTGACGTGAGCAGCTCTTTTCGTATTCTTTTGACTTGAACCATTCCGAAATTCTGGTCAGATGATGTCCCTGTATGTCAATATTGACGTCGTCTGACCACCGGAATCCGCTGGCACGCTCTGCAAGCTGCATCTGCCTTACTACGAGTATTTATTATGACAAGAAACCCCGCTACCAAGTTCATTGTAATGTTTCTATCCATAACGGGTAAGTTAGTACTTTAAATAAATGATTCAAATGGCATTACACAAAAGTGTACATATACAGGTATATATGAATATGATGGGACTCCTTCAGGAAGAGATTCATGGTACACGGAGGCTGTTAGCCGCATGTCAAACAATAATGACGAGAGATAGCTTTTATTTTACGCATTAGTCTAGATAGAATTAATTCTCAATCCTATGTATTATTGAATTTGCAGAGCAACGCAGGAAGTAGCTAAGTTAGAAGCTCTCGGTTCCGCTCCTGGTTCTGTACGCAATAAATATTTTGTGAGTTTGTTATCGCAGATTCTTGGAGTCAAAGCCTTTTTGGTGCAGAATTCATGGCAACCCCTGTGTACTTGGTAGCACTGTAAGAGTGCGCTGTTCGCAAACAGTCCCTCAAACACAACACACACGCTTGTGCAACGAGGAAGCGATTCCCGACGTGGGGGGAGAAGGACAGTCCCGACTTGGAGGAAAGAAGAACGATATGATGACTTAAAGGTAAATTTGCAACTGAAATAAAGTGAGTTATAGTTCCTAGCTACATGCAAAACACCCCAAGATCTCCTGGAGGTTTTACAAGTAAAACCTTGGGCTCCTGATTTATAAATCGAGGGTGTACGGAGCTTGAGCTTTGAAAACTTGAACTTCAACTTTCATGGAAAGTGTCCAGTAGAAGGAGCCGACTTACGCCACCCACTTCGATAGCTTGAACTTTAACTTTTGTGGAAAGTATCCAGTAGAAGTGACTGGATTACCCCACCCACTTCTAAGGACGAAGACACGTCGGTTTCGTCACCAGTACAGATCGCCAAAAAGAACCAGCATTTTGCGTCACACAAAATGTTTGTGGATCTATACAAGGAATCACGTATGCATTTGGAATTACCATACTGTAATCTTCTGTCATGTATTCCCACAATACATACAGGAGTTAAAGAAATGTACCTTCATGTAATGTCTAAATGGCCTATTAAAAGCTCTTGTAGTCAATCCTACGACCGAGTAGCGGAAGACTTATAGCTGTGCGGGGATGCGACATGGAATGTTAGAGTACATTTTTTCTGAACAACCAGATCAGCTCGATAGGATCATGACTATTGTTTGTCTCAACTGGACTAGAAATCCTGGCAGTCAAAGCGCCGAATTTGGCAATCGCTCTTCTATGATTTTTTGCCAGTTTTGCGAAAGCACATCCAATTGTGCCTCAGCCGGACGCCGGTGGCAAACAGATGATACACACAGTCTCAGCCTTGAAAGCCGAAGGTCAAAGCGGGTGAAATCACTCCCGTTGGAATTTTTACGACCATGCTTTGCCGTTATCAAAACAGAGCAACAGTGCGTTTCGCTTATAGTCTCTAGTGTACGAGGCTACGCGCGAGGAGGGATGGGTCGGATGGAGGTCTATATTGGTCTAGAGACGATAGACCTCAGCCATGAAAAATAGAAGAGAGCATTCTCTTAGTTGCTTCTTAGCTGCGCGGTACTTGCAGTTGCTTTATCTACGACAGTTCGAAACAACTTTGCCTTTCTTGCCCCCTCCACTCTCGGCTGAAAAGATCTAAATGTCGGGATTCGACGGACCCGTAGCGGCGAATGGCGAAGTCCATCAAGCTAAAAAATTATATCTGATTGTTTTTTTTGCGGTGGAAATAGACAATGGATCCCAGCCTTAACTGAAACAAATTAGTTTAAGCGAGGTGAGGTTTGCAGTTCAGGGGTGATGGATGTTGACTTCAGCTTCACTGGCTCTGTGAAGCCTTCAAAGTCCTGACATATCGTGTAATCACGTACTACGCACGTTTACTGAAAACGGTAGACAGTACGCGTGGGTCAAGTATGGATACCATAATTATGCGTCTCGTGATGTGAACACTGGTAAAGCGTCGAAAATTATATTGTAGTTTCAATCGAAGATTGAGAACTTTGACAGCGTAGAACAGTGTCTTGTCCTGAACATGAAAAGATTTAATTCTAGATAGTCTGTGGCTGGAATGCCGCGAACGACGTATCGAATAGGAGCTGAGAAAACTCGATCTTCAAAGTGTATCGCTGTAGGGACGATAAAAACAGCTACGGGCTGTTTTAGGGCCGGTAAATTACTGTAATTGTAAGTTTCCAGTAGAAGTGCCAACCCGTAATTGAAAGAATATCGTT